GAAAAAACCGACTTGAGACATTTTTATGTGCTTTTTTACACCGACGTCTAGTGCTATTAAATTAAACGAGCCTGGCTCGGCTCGGCTCGAGTTCGAAGCCTTAACGAGCCGAGCTCGAGCTCATTTAAAGCTTGTTTGGTTAACGAGCCGAGCTCGGCTCGGCTCGATAAGGCTCATTAAGGCTCGAAAAGTAAAAATTATGTGATTTTTTATAGTTCGGCTTGTTAAAACTCGAGATCGACTCGTTAAGGCTCGAGCTCAAGGCCTTAACGAGTCGAGCTCGAGCTCAATTTTTAGCTCGTTTACTTAACAGCTCGAGCTCGAGCTCAAACACCTTAAGCTCGAGCTCGGCTCGGCTCGTTTACAGCCCTACCAACGTCTGTTGTAATCCAACGTCGGAACACTTGTTCCTATTTGGTCCATCTCTTTCTGAACTGGAAACGGTGTAACAGTTGCTTGTACACGCGACGGTTACAAAAAGAAGTGTCTGCACTTAATAGGTGCAACGGATATCAATACCACGCGTTGATTTGTGATCTATCCACATGTATTAATAAAGGATGTCGAAACGTTTTGTCTTTAAGAGACGCGTCCATTGCACGCGCCCCTCTTTTAGTATTATAAATATTCGCAATTTCAACTTATAAATATTCGCAATTTGAGTACTATAATTATTTGCAATTTCAACTTCTAAAAGTTTCACCTCCGCAATTTCTGAATTCATAGCTTTTCGAGTTTTCCATCCTCCGATTTCAATTGCTTTCTTCTGTGTTGAGTGCAAATTTGAGTGACCGTCTTCTGTATGTGTCTTTAGGGTTTTGACTACTTGGTAAGTTGATTTTGAATTTCCTTCTTTCTTATAAGTTTCAACGAATTTCTTCTTCTTTGTCGCCGAAAATGTCTTCCAAAACAAGGAACAAATAGCGTCCAGTGGTAGTAGTAGTAGGACGATTTCCGTTGAGATATTTGATGAGGAGGATTTGGAATTGGCGTCGGAGTATTATCATTGGGACCCAATTCTGGTAGAACGACTCGATATTAAAAAGGATAATATCGAGGGGGATTTGAAGGTTGAGAAAAATGCCATGGTGTTGCCCGATTATTGGAGGCGGACGACACATCGGTGGCCTGAGGCGGATACAAAGTGCCTTGGTGAGCCCAACATTTTGACTTTGCCGACGTGGTGCTACTTCAGGATCACGTTCGTGTGCCGTCGTCGGTGAAATTATTTGCACCATATCTGGGAAAGAGAATTTCCTGCCCTCCCCCGGGATATATTTGAATTTTCGTTGAGTCTCTTAGGTTGGGTTGAGATTTCCCCTTCCTAACCTAATCACCGATTATCTGCGTGACTGGGGGTTAAGTTATTGCCAAACTGCCCCGAACAGCTGGAAAAGGATAATCGGCTTTCTTGTCTTGTTGAATGAAAACGGCTACGTTTTACCCTTAGTGACCTGACATGAGGAACCTTTTCACCTTCAAGAAAAGTCCGTGTAGAAAGGTCGCAGATCCTCTGTGTTGCTTCTTTTGTGCGGGTAAACCCTAGACAGGGTTGAAGATGGGCGATTTGGTGACGGAGATACCAGACACACTCCATGGATTCTAGAAGGAGTGCTTATGGGTCGGCGGAGACTGGCAGTTCGCCAACTTCTTCAATGAAAGTCTGATAGATGGGATGACTATCCTGACTAGCATTACTTCTGCGTATTGTAAGTAATTATTTGTATATTGAATAATTTTGATCTCGATTTGTTTTTCTTTTACTAACATGTTGGTCATTTCCGTGCTTGTAGCCAAACGATCGAAGGAAGCCAAGCTTGGGAGTGAACTTAGAGATCAAATAGAAGAGTTGTCCAAACTCAGCAAAGCAAAGCGAAGTTATAAGCGCTTGGTGTTGGACTCCAAACTCGAAATGCTGGTTTGTCGCTGGGAGTAACTGATTCTTCTTTTGACTCGGGTATGGTCTTTTGTCTCTTGTGGTACATTTTCAATTTGGTTTTGGCTTTGCCACATTCTGATTGTGCTCGGTTTTTTTTTTTTGCAGTCTACTACCCATTGTTGGGTTGTCTCGAATTTAAGAATGTTCAGGACGCCGAAGCTTTCAGAAGCCGGTGTCCAAATTTGGATCTTCATAATAAAGTCGGTAAGGGCAATGAACAACGTTCAACCGAGATGGGCCGCAAAGGGTTGGTTAAGGCTTTGTTGAAGAATCCGACTAGACGGGGAGCTGCCGACGTTGGAGGAAGCGCAATGTCGGTTGTTGTTGTTGAAGTCTTGGGGCCAAATCCCGTGGCCACATTAATCCCTAATCCGAGTTCGGTGGTTGCTGCCAAGACCATCAACCAGGCTGAGCCTGAGGGAACTTTAACTGTTGCTCAGTCTGAGGTCCAAATCATTTTGCCGACTTTAGATGAGACCGAAAAAGTCCCAGAGAAACCGAACTCTCCGCCTCAGAAGAAATCAAAGAAAAAAAGTACTGAGGACGCTGCTGTTGGCCGTGTGAAGATGTCCAAGAGAGGACACGATGTCGATCGTCGTGAGAAAAGCAAAGAGCCAATCGTCGATAGGTCTTTCTTAAAATGAGCCAGAACTGTCGAGCCACGTGATAGATGCTTCTCAGGTTCCCATGATACACATAATATGAGTAAAAATTTACCACAATTTTTTTCAACATAATACACATCTTCATTTAACGAATTTATTTATAATAGAAAAAAAATGGGACTAACAAGATTAATGGACTAACAAGATTAACAAAAAAAATTTATTTTCAATGACTTAGTATTATAAATTGAAATCTCTTACATCTTACTTAATATTTTATAGTAAATACTTGATACATATTAGCATATAATATAATTTTTATATAAATATTGTTGTGCTATTTTTATTTTATTAATTATATAATGATAATAATTTAATTAATTGAATATTTGCAGAACAATATACATTTGTGAAATTAAAATAATTTATAATAATAACAAGAAAAAGAAAATATTTTGTGGAATAAAATGTAGCGCCAACAGTTAGAGACGAAACTTAACTTTACTCTAGAGTAAAGTAAACTTCGCAGACAGAAAATGACCTAATTAAGTGCATTCCAATATTATTTATTTTAAGCCAATCAATTTCTTTTATTCAAACTTCATTGAATGGAAAAGAGACCAACTTTTTTTCCAATAAGGGCATCTCCAATGGTAATAGCTATTACTAGCTATATAGTCAGCTGACATGAATGTGAGAGATAAGAAAAATAATTATTTACACTATTGGACCCACATACTCCTCTCACATAATATTGGGCTACGTGAAATAGATAAGCTATTTGTTAGTAGCTAGTGACTACTCTCTCTCTTACTTTTCCCCTGTCCACGTCATAATAGCTAGTCAAATAACTAACCATTGGAGACACCCTAAGAGATAAATCGCAGACTTGCAGTGGGATCAACTTCCAATGAAGAATTTATTGCCGTTCTTTATTAAAATAAAAAAAAAAGGTTCTAAATTCTAGTTTTAACTCAAACAGAAGATAAAAAAAAAAATCAAATTTATAAGTTTAGTATTATACGAAAACATAGCCACCACTTCTTTGAATGACAGAAGAAAATAAGTAGACATTTGATAAGTAGTTATTCAAAAAAAATTACCAAATTAGGTGCCCCTTAACATGTGGCCTTATTGGCCTATTTCAAGTATACATTATGATAAAGATCAAATCAATCTTGTCTTGAAGCACCACTGCTTTGTTCAAAATTGTCCAAATGCATTTCAAGTACAAATTGGAATAAAGGCATAAAGCATTATAATCTTTTGCTTGTGGCCTTTGCGTTCTTCTTTTTTGGGGAAATAGGAAATAATACGATCCCGTTACAGAACCATCTTGTCGGGAGTTATTACCGTTGGATACACATGTAGTTAGTTTAAGATAGATGATCTAACGGTTAAAACACCCGACGGGAGGTCTCGTTACAGAACCAACCCGTCGGGAGTTATAATTGTTGGATACACATGTAGTTGGTATAAGATAGATGATCTAACGGTTAAAACACCCGACAGGATGATTTCGTAATGATGGGACCATAGCATTTCACCTAATTTTGTTCCAAACTCCTCTTCTTCTCTATAAATAAATTAGCATATGCTTTCTCACAAAGCACATATTCCACCACTTTTCTATTAATTCGATTTTGTTCACCAATTACTATAATGCAACATAAAAAAGAAAATGTTTTTTTTTTTTTTTT